GAACTGCAAATTGTATCTATGATAAGAGAGAAATCCGGATTGTACTCCTTCGATTCCGAATTCTAGAGGGGGGGGGCATTGAAAATTTTAAAAACTTGGAGGGGGGGGCATCGAAAATTACCAATAACCTCAACAGGGGCCCTGTAAAAATATGAGCTTTTTTCAAGACATCTTCATCCCCCTCCCTCGGTGTAATAAATGTACTTTCCCTTACTATTTATAATTTAAATTGTGTTTGATATTTTTATTTCATGTTGTTTACAAAATATGCTGTAGTTTTGAAGCTTTGCACACAATATAATCAGTGCGAGCACAATGGCTCCGTTTCAGTTTGAGTACATAAAAATCGAGTATTTTGATAGCGTTCGCGGCTTTGAGGCTTTCAATTGTATTACTATTTATAATTTAAATTGTGTTTGATATTTATATTTCATGTTGTTTACAAAATATGCTGTAGTTTTGAAGCTTTGCACACAATATAATCAGTGCGAGCACAATGGCTCCGTTTCAGTTTAAGTATATAAAAATCGAGTATTTTGATAGGCTTTCACGATATATAAATATATTATAAAACGCGTGATAGTTGATAAATAATCAGTGCGAGCACAACGGCTCCAAAATCACAACAAATAACAAAATATAAGGTAAGTTAAAACAGTAAAGCTTTACCTACCTCGATTTATTTTTCTAAGGCGCTCGATTATGTAAATTTTCGGCGGATAATCAATATATAAATTTTCTTTGCGTTTCCTCGACGAAAATCCGGCATGAAAATGCTCGTCGGAAACTCGGTATTTGTCGCATTTTACGAATCTGCCACGTGACTGGTACGCTCACCGCTCACCGCTCACCGAACACGACACGAAATTTAGAGCTATATGAAAGTTGCATGCCATATATGGCATGCAACAAAAACAAGAAACCTTATATTTCTTGTGAAGAAAATAAGCTGTACTGCTGGTTGGATTAGGGAATATTCAAAATATTCTTTCTTGTTTAAATTAAATAAAAGCTTACTATATGAAGCTAAGCGTTTTATAACGCGCAGGTGCGACCAAGTTGCAGTCATAACACTTACCCGAACATTGATCTATCTCAAAGCTATTTCTTGAATTCCCCTCAGTAATCAAATACTGCACTTTCCTGTCCTGACACAGCCGTGCCTTCGTGACAGCCACGAACGTTCGCGTGGAACGTAGATGCTCGCGAACATTGCCGTGATAGACAACTCTCTCAAACATGGGGTTACAGTCTTGCTCACCTACCACAGAGATCAACACAAACTGCTTCCCGCTTCTCCATCGCGTCGCGTTGTCTCGAGCTTCAATAACCAACCCAAGTTGTTCAACTCCTTCCCAATTCAATCCAGGCACAGAGAAAATACGCTCTCTCTCATCTATATAAAATCTTCTAACTCCGTCTCCATCATCAATGCGATAATTAAGTTGACCATCCAAACCTTCGTCTGGGTCAGTTGCTTTAACCTTTGTAACAAAGTGCGACAATTTCCAGTTCCTTTGAAATTCCATTGCTATGTTTCCTTTCTCAAACACAGGAGCATTGAAATTCTCATCAGCATCATCTATTAAGACTGTCACATTCGCCTCACCTGTCTCAGATGCAGTTAAGAGCAGCTTAAATTCGTATCTTTGTCTCGATTCAAAATCCAAGCTTTTCACTAAGTACAGGAAACCGCTATTAGCGTCCACTTCAAAAGGAATTTCTTGAGGGGATAAAACTGTAAACTTGGGCTTCAACCTTGCTAAATGGACAACAACTGGGTGTAAGATATGGGAGTTGACTGGCAAGTCTTCGCAAATTCTTACTAAATATGACTGCTTTGCAAAGCGCGGTTCTTGGCTTCCAGTAGGTACCTCCAAAGGTTGCGAAAGCCCTTTAAACAGTTCAATTTTAACCACAGTTTCTGTGCGTTTAGTGGGGTTTCCTCGATCTTGAGCAACGATTGTCATTTGAATCAAATTTCCCGCAGTAAAATCTAAGCTTCTTGCCACGCGTACGATTCCAGTATGTGGGTCAAGGGTAAAGGAATCATCATTGTGTGTTTTGGTTAGAAATTTTTTAAAGAAATAATAGATTTTAGAGTTTTGTTCTGAGTCCTGATCTTGAGCGTGAACTTTGAGTATTTCTGTTGAAACAGGGGTAGTGGAAAGAACAGAAACCCGATATTCTGATGATGTAAATTGAGGAGAACAATCGTTCGTATCCTCGATATTAATTCGTATTTGCGTGATCGCTCTTGGTGTTGGCTTCCCTCCGTCTGAGGCTTCCACTGTCAAGACATAAAACGAAGACTCCTCGCGGTCTAACTTCACTTTCGTTCGAATATTTAAGAATTTAACTCCACTCAGTTCTTCAGTAACTGCTTCAAATTTGTCCTCACCGTTTCCAGGAAGTATTTTATAACTGTTGACTGAGTTTGCGTCTGTGTCTAAGTCTGTGGCGTAGATCCCATGCAGACCTTGCACCATAGTACCTTCGTCTTCGTTTTCTTGTACAGAGCCGACATATAAATCTTTCTTAAACTGAGGAGAATTGTCGTTAAGATCATTAATGGTTATTGTTAAAGAACAAGCATTTACCCATGTTTGGGACGA